TAATCTGTTACTGAGATTAATCGATGTTAATAAGAATGTGTCAAGTATTTAGTTCGCACCAATTTGATACTCATATTAACCGATTTAACGGTGTAAAAGGATTTATATTAGTATTTTCAATTCTAATGTAATAATAGTATTTATTAATACTACCCGCGTGTAATATTATTTAATATTAAATAATATTTTATAGGTATACTTTTAGAATGTTATATGTAACATTTTAATAACATTTTACTATTACATAATATTCCTAAAATATACATACTTTCGTGCACTTTTATATATCTACTATCTTTTAATAACAAATAATCTATATTAGATTAAAAAATACAAAAATTAAGCACTTGTATAGTATTTCTTTAGGTTCATAAACTATTTACAATTAAAAAATTTATTTACATATTTTACGGCTTTATTTTCCCAAACAAAGTACGTTTATACAAATACATAAGTTTGAGAATAACCGCGTCTTGCGTCAAGATGGAGGCAAGTTTGCAGTACTTTATAGGTAAATCTAGTGACTTTATTAGAGAGTCTCTAATCCTGCCACTCCTGCTAGTCGAATTAAGAACGATTCAACGTCAGATCGGTCAGATCAGGTGAGAGAGAGAAGAGTGTGTATTAAGAAAAGTTGTCTAATTTTAATTTGAATCTCTTTGTTCTCTTAATTATTAAATAAAATACGTTATTTAAATAAGATCCAGCAAAGATCTAATATATAATCTAATTTATAATATTTAATATTGAAAAAAGTAATTATTTTAAAATAATACCTATTTGGATAGAAATTGATAATATTTTAATGATTATTTACGACGATTAATTAACCTTAATATCGTATAACTCTTTCATGCATATATATTTTATTAGTCTTACTCAATACTTTGCTTAATAAAATAACGTAATTAAGTATATTATATTATTTTCTTTATTATATAAAATAACGTAATTAAGTATTATATTATTTTCTTTATTATATATATATGTATATTTTTTATTATCTCAAGATTGAAGATTCTCAACATTGAAGCTTCTCGATCTTGAAAATTTATCATGATCGAAGTGAATTATAATTTCAAGCAATACGATTTAATCCTTCATTAAATTGAAATTACGTTGTATAAGAGCATAAATGTGTGTGTGTGTGTGTATGTTGTGTGTGTGTCATTCTGACTGTTAATACAAAAAATAAATAAACATTGTTTATATTTCAGTGTGTATGTAGATACAGTACATTTTGTGTGATTATTTGTCTTTAATCACACGCGAGTTTCATTAGGTACGTTCGATAGGAATAATGATTTCAGGTACAGATAATATTACTAGTTTTATTATACATATGCAAAAAAGTAATTCGGAGCCATGTATTTTAATATATGTAATATGAAATATTATTTATTGTAATGAACAAGATTCCTGTTATTTTTTACAGATATATATTATGGAGAGATTAGCAGTAATTAATTAGAAAATCATGAAAGAAAAACATGGCTGAGCATGGCAATGACCTTTACGAACAACAACTTTTTGCTGTATTTGAAAGCTGTTTGACAAAAGGAGAGGTTGAACTTAGTGAGAATGATTTGTTTTCCATTTGCAATAAATTACACCTTGATGAATTGATTGAGGAATTGAAATTGTGCATTTGCAAACATCATCCAAATAAACAAACAATATCCTTTCAAGAATTCCGAGATGGTTTATTACTCTTGTTGAAAAAATTCCAAGGTTCAATAACTGATAAACAGCATATTGTACAACCATATCATAATTTAAATATATGCAATCAAGATATCGAGAAAAATCAAACTTTACCATTGGTTACAAGTACTTTGAGGGTTTATCTTCAAGATATGAAAGCTAATGTTACAATGGACGAGAGCAGATTGATACGCTTATGGGAGAAAGTTAAGGTTTATTTAAGTGGAAATGCAGAACCTGCAACGATACAGTTTATATCGAGTTGTTTAGAAATTCCAGAACTCCCTAAACAAATAACAGAATCCATCTTTGAAAGTCTCGATCGCAATTGTGATGGATTGATAAGTTTTGATGAATTTGTAATTATATTTCAAAAGAGAAAAAATATTAAGACTTTACGAGAGGATACCGCATCTCATAGCAGTATTGTAAACTATGATGTAAATACATTAGATTTTAATACATGTGAAATTGATTCAACGCAAACTAACAGAGATTTGGATAAGGAGGAAAAAGTTGCTGGTGTTTCTGATATAACTATGCTATCATCCAGTGGAGATCTTGATGCTTTGGATGTGAGTCTTGCAGAAATAACAAATATCATATGCCATGAACTCAAGAGTTTAAATGAATCATTAGATAGTAATGCCATTCAGACTCATATTAGTTTGTTACGAGAAATGATGATTACCCATCAGGATGAGCAACGCAATTTAACTGCTATAATAGACAACATGAAGGTGGAAAGAGAGAAAATGCGGATTGACATGCTAGAGGCCAATGAACGGGCGAATTTATTAGCACAAGAGATTGATGAGTATCATGTTCAATTAGAAAAAACAAAAAAAGATTTACAGAGACAGAGCGAACAACGTTATGCTGAAATCACGAAAGAATTATCAGATCAACTGAATATCGAACGGGAGATGGATGCCGCGGCTCTAAAATCAAAGGATGATCAGTTACAGGCACTACAAAAGGATAATCATGATATGAAAAATAAAATCGTACATATTTTGCAAGAGAATCAAATGCTCGAAGCAGAAAATAAAACTCTTCTTAGCCAGATTGAAAAGTTGCGGCAATCTAATAATGATTTGTTAACTCAAATAAAAGTGTTAGATGCGGAGCAGGATGAGATACAAAGCATTGAAGCCAAGCAACAGGAACAAGTTAATTTTTTTGTTGATCGTATTAAACAGTTACAGTCAGAAGTGACGCTCTTGCGAGATCAAAACGATGAACTTTGTGCAGAATTGGAAAATTCGAAATGTTGTGGCAAAGATACGACATATAAGACACCATCGTCTTTGGCATATGATTTACAATTAGATGAGAATCAAGATGAAAATCATATAACACAAGAGTTTGAAGTGGATCGGCAGATCAGTGGTAAAGCATCATGTGACTTTGAAATATCAATGGACGAAGGTCAGACTGATATGTCCAATTCCGATACAATGGAATACAAAAGAGATATAATCATAAAAGATTTGGAAAATATATTATCAACAAGTGCAAAATGCCTACCAGAAAAATGTTCTTTGAAAGCTAGTGTGTCGAAATTGCTTACTTGCCTGCGATCGGATTTTGCACTACGTTGTCCCGCACAAGACTTCGGGAAAAGTATAGCATCTGAGCTTGAAATGGAATGTGAGGAACGAGCTAACGAGTCTTTGCGAGATTTAGTCGTTTCGAAAATACCAAAGCAACCTTCTGCAAAACGTACTACGATGTCAAATAGTGCAGAAGATTTGAATAATTTCACTGGTCAAGATGCAAAAAATGTAACACAAAATAAGGCAATGAGTCTTAGAGATTACCCACCGCGAAAAGAAGAATATTCTATGGATCAATGCAAAGCCAGCAAGGAGAAAAATAATTCTCCGAACGTTACTGAAGTCGAAAGTATTCCAAGAATTGTAGCAACAAACACAGAATCATTAGAGATAGAGAAGAAACAATTGATCGAACGTTGTCAAGAACTTGAACGAAGTTTAGATTTATTAAAAACGGAATACGAAGAATGTGAAGATTATTGGGCTGCCAAATTAGAAGAAGAAAGACAGCTTTTTGAACAAGAACAAAAAATAAGTGACGACAAACTTGCCGAGCTTATTAATAAAATAACAGAATATGAAGAATTAATTAGTCCTTCGGATAAATCAAAAAATAATGGACGATTGTCTCCCATAGAAGAAAAGTTTAATTTGGAGCAACAGGTAAGATAAAATCTATGTTCGCATTTGCTTGTTTTTATTTTCGAAATACACGTGCATACTCGTATTATTTTACTGATAAAAACATTTTTATATCTTTAATGTCTCAGTATGTAGATCTCGAAGAAGAATTTGAGAAATGGAAAATAAAAACCGAAAATGACATTTCTCAGAAGAATCTAGAAATTGGAGACCTCCGTGAAAAGTTAAGACTGATAGAACAACCAATTACAAATGATTCCTATGTACAAGTACCAGACGAAATTTCTTTAGCAACATTGTCAGATTCGTCGCACTGTAAATCTTCCAGTATGTCCAGTATTCTATCAACGAACGAAATATTCGCGAATACGGATTTATATGGCACAAACAATCAAGCATGTCATACTTCAGCAGAATTTCCATTATCCAATAATCTTAACAAATTGTTGAAACAAGAGGATCACATAGACGGTCATAATCTTTGTAATACACATATATATACCGACTGCTCTATGAAAGTAACAAGTAAAGGTATAAGTAAAGATCAAAAGATATATCATAATAGTCCACATATTGCTGATAAAAGTATGTTGGCAATGAAAGAGGAAGATAAGTGCGATTCAGAATTTAAATTGATACATAATGCAATGAAAGAAGCTAGCTGCACGTGTTCCGAGAATAATGTTCAACAGCAAGTAGATTGCATCGATCTAAATATTTTTCAGAACTTAAAAATGAAACTTTACGCACAAGAACGCAAGAAACGTCATCTGCAGCGTTATATTAAACAGCAGCGGCAGTATATTGAAAGATTATTACAACGTAAATTTTTTTTCATGTTATTACGATAAAGTAATTTAATACATTTTCAAAATTGTATTTATATGAAAAACATGTATACTCTTTGTTTTTAAGATTTATCGTTCTTTTAAATCTTTTTAATTTAAGGACAAAATTATTGTAGTTTGTTATTACAGGTATTATGGTGCAGCACCAGACGGAAGTATGTGAGTTACAGTGCCTTCTCCGTAATACCCAAGAAAGACTTCACATACAAGTTCAAACAACTGTTGATCAGGTACGACATAAACATTCATAATTATATATTAATTTCTAAGTAATTTTATGCTGTTCCACTTTTTCCAAATAACAATTATTAATCACATTCTCTTAATTACGAAATTGGAATAAAAGAATACAAATGGTGGATAAAAAAATTGTGTTATATATATTAAAAAATGATTCATTTATATGTACATATATAGATAAATCATCTTTCTAAAATTAATGAATGTTAAAAAAGGTGTATATCAATTTTGAAATATTACACAGAATGATTGATCAGAACTAAAATGATAAGCTTTAATATAATAATAATCTAATAAAATAAAAATTTATCATTATTTTTATCCCATTATCATTATTTTTAGGCTGATAAATTAGCAAGTGCTGACATTTTGGTGAAGGATTTGTACATAGAAAATGCATATCTAACATCACACATGAAGCGCTTGCAAGAACGATGTCTTATATTAACAGGCCTTGATGTAGAATCGACCTCAATGTGATGTCTACAAATAATTATTTACAATTATAATAAATCAACGTCTCTTTGTATGTATCGAAAATAATGTATATTATTTATTTATGATGTAAAATTATTAATTAACAGTATAAAAGTGTTATAGCATAAAGCCGGAATGTAACTCAGGGATGCAAACGGTTAGAAAATGTATGTTTTAAAACGGGTGCCTACAGTTTTTAATTTGATTTAAAGTAAGAGATTTGGCTTATATATGTGTAATACATATATACATATACACATACATACGAGCAATTGTTATGATAAATAAGAAGCATTATGTAAGCAGAGTTGATTTACTATTTCTAGTTAGATGATGGTTTTTTTGTATATAGATGAGTACATAAAATATGAAACAATATAATATACAAATATTAAATATATTAAGATTTTAAGCATGTTTGTATAAAATCAATGTATATAATGTTATACTTGTTTAAAAAATTATCCATTTAGCCTGAATATTTTTTTTAAATAACTTATATTAATTTTTTTTACATTAATTGATTCGTACCATTCTGTTCAAAAATATTAAAATACGATTATAAAAAAAATAGTTTACAAGATATTTAATATTTTATGTTAATATGTGTCAGAATAAAGTAAAACATATTTTGTAAATTATAGGTTTTTTGGTATCTCTCTTATTTTTTATATAAGAATAATTAAAGGAACCTTATTACTTAAAAAAATATATAATTTTATTTAAAAAATTATACATATATGTTGTATATCGTTTTTGTATATGTGTGAATCTGGTGTGTGTGTGTGTGTGTGTGTGTGTTAAAATATGTTCTTTGAATGTGTGCTACACTTTGGTACGCCTATTTTAAGGAATTTTAAGGCCGGTTTCGCCAATGCCAGTTAAAATGTGCTCCATGAGATGAAGAATATCGGAATGATTGTGGCTTCATTTCGCTGATTCCACTCCGCTAAAATATATTTTCCTATGTTCCATTGCTGCAGTAGCTCTAAGGGTATATCCACACAAAGCTGCATAATCATATGCATAAAGAAAATTATCCAATCACATTTCTGCCATAAAGGCAAACATAAAATACGATTGGATGATTTTCTTTATGCATACATTTATGCGGCTATGCAAGTTTGTGTGGATATACCCTAAAACAAGCATATGTGCTATAGTAATTGAACAGCTGAGTATACGCGTTCACTACTATTGATATTTTCTTCTAGATCTAAAATTATAATTGGATGATCCGAGAAAGTAACAAGGCTTATATCTTCTGAACACAGCCGGTATAGTTTTTGAACACTGTTCAACGCTGTCATTGACGTTTCCTTGAAATATAACCTTGAAATTATGTGATTTTGACAGTATGGAAAGTAACAATAACAGCAATATAAAAAGAGCATTGCGCATAATGTATAGAGCACAAGTATACACATATACACGTATATATCTTCTCTAGAATCTGATAGCAACGATAATTAATAATACATGTCATAGATTATGCATGTATTTCATCTTGTAAAAATCTTATAGCAAACAAGCTTAATGATGTAAATATTTGACAGAATGAAATAGTGTTATATTATTATTTATCTTATGCGTTATCAATTAATTCTATTGCGAAAGATTATATTTTTATAAATTACATTTGTATGTGTTATATGAAATGTATGTATTCATTATTTTAGAAGATATGATGAATCCTGAGACAGTAGCAATGGGCGAGAATTTATTCAAGCTACAGTGTTTAATTAAAACTACCGAGATACAGCATAGTGTGCAGTGCAAACTTGAAAGAAAATTATTTTTTGCATTAGCAACCAACAATGCTGAAATTATTCTTTATTATAAAAGGGAATCTTCTTGCCTACCTGTTGTTAAAAAAATACCGTGGTTTCAAGGGCTACATAAACAGATAGCTGCTTTTTGCTTTGATTCAAGTGGTACTTGGTTATTGTGTATAACTTTAGATGGTTCGTTGTACGTATTACCTGCTTTAACTTTAGTTGGTGAAAATTGCGTCATTGATAAAAAATGGAAGACTGACGATGCAACATATATATCCTTTGTAAATTCACAAATTTCTCATTTCAGGTAATTTTATTAAAATAATCTTGTAAATAGGTAGTAATTGTAAAGTTTACACTGTCGTCTGCTATAGCTGCTTTATTTTCTTCTGCACAAACTATTTTTTATTCCTATTCTTTATCTTATAAATATATAATTTTCTAATTGTATCTATATAAGATTTCTTGAAAATTATACTATTTTTAGACCAATAGCTATTACATGGTGGAGGAATACAAAAATATCTGAGGACATAGGTGTTATAGGAACGGAATGTGGAGCAATTATATTTATAAATCTTTCAAATGGACAACAACTAGGCATAACATACATTAATGAAAGTATAAGCAGTCTACATATTTGTGAAAATGAATACAATGAGATTGTATCTCTTTTGATAACAAGTAAATTTCAACAGCAGTGGCGTTTATCTTTGGAACATATGTCTTTTAATCTTTTATACAATGTTGAAAACGAAAAACCTTATAACGAACTAAATTTAAGTGGTGCTAGTCATAATGTGGAAGATTCCGTTCCTAATAAATCTAAATTAAAAGAGCTTAAACAACTCTCTGTTGAAAAATTGGCTACTCTTAAACAGAAGATAATTGATACTAAAAATCAAACATTAAAGGAGAGTTTACAATGTCATGGTAGGTGTACAAGAATATGTAGAAAAACGTTCAAAATATAATATTAAATGCCTCTCAGGAAAAATGATGGAACATTTATATTATTTTTTTTTTATTAATGTTAAAACGATATTCTATATTTTTAACGAATGACAAAATTTTCATTATTAATTCGTGCTTTAAAAATAAATTTTTATGATACGTACGTTTTTTTTATTATCTATTTATGCGGAAAAAGTACACAATTACATACATCATCGCTTTTGATCTGGAATAAACTTGATCGTACAAAGAAAGGCTTGTACAAGTGATAAATATATTTCGATTGCATATTTATCTGGTCACTGCTACTATTATTAAAAGATTCATAAAACAGTTATTATATGTATCACAGATGCTGCAAGTATCAAAGAAAATGATAATGGAATTCCTGTTAATTCGGAAATATCACAATGCAAATTAGGTTTTGTTAGTCCAGAACCAATATCAAAAGATACTTTTCTATCTTTGCAATATGACAGAGAAAATCGACAATTGTATACATGCTATCATCCTGTCACTAATTACATCACAGTGAGATTTTTTGTGATATTTTTCCTCAGTTAATTTCCAAGCACTTAATATATTCTAGCCTTCTAATATGAAAATTTTTTTATTTTAGGTACATGGTCCAAACCTAACTGTGGTACCTTTGTCAATGCACAAAGTGTTTAAGTCATGCGAAACTGTTTTATTAGCACATAGATTTTTTTTTATTACCGATATTAATCAACATGTAATATATATAATATCTGATCAATTGTCCGAGACTCATGTAAACAAAGACTATCAGTTTAATCCCGAGTCCATCATCGGAACATTTTCTTTTAAAAATAGTAAGGAAGTAATACGCGCGGTATACAAAGTAACACAATTCAGTAATATAGTACCGAGAAAAGTTTGTGAGGAAATCGAAAATAAATGTACCTTACCAAAGAATGTGAAAGATATTAAGGTCGAACCGTTTAGTTTGGATACATGTATAATTGTGACAAACCGCTGTGTATATGAAGTTGTATTAAGGTCAGTTTAAAATTTATCGCATGATTTACAAAGACACAAGGTTCACAAAGCAAACCAAGAAACAAAATTGTAATAATAGATTTTGTTATTCAACAAAGATCTATTTTTTGTAATATTTTTTTTCAACGTTACGGCAATAGCTTTGATGTGCAGCACGCAAAATGTTTTTTTACTTTAGTTACTTTTATTTTAAAAAATAGAATCAAGAAAACAAATTACATATTACATTATTTCTTGAATTTGCTTGTATTTCTCTGATGATGAGATAATATAATTCTAATACTAATTAATTTTTAAATACTTGTGTAATTTTTTGCTATTATACATTATAATTATTAAACAATTGTTTTACTTCAGAAAATCTCTTCTGTCGCTCTTTATGGAATTAGTATTGAAGAGAAACGAGTTGCAAGAAGCAGGAAAATTAGCAATGATTTTTGGATGGAATGGACAACATCTGCTGGAATATGTTGGCGATTTATTCCTATCAAATAAAGAATTCTCACGTGCAGTAGCTTCATATAAAATGTCTAAGGTAACTAAGAACTGAATTTCTCTGTTTTTCTATCTGTCTAAGTATCTTTCCTGTGTGTTTCTATCTCAACATTTTTATTTCAGTGTAAATTATTGAAGAGCGTATTAAAGTTTGCATCAGTAGGCCATACATCAGAATTACTGAGTTGTCTAACTCATTGTTTACTTACACCTCTTATTACTGAAATGCCTATTGCAACAAGGATACATTTATCTAATTTATGTGTACTTTCTTTTATTGAAATGACATTAAGGATTTGGTCGGAACAATCTAAAGCAATTTATAAAGAATTCTTGTAAGTCACATCTTACTTTTATTAAATATATTATATTTCCTGTATTATGAGGCATCTTCAATTAAATATCTATGCATATTTACTAACAATAATTTCAATAATTTTCAAATTTCGAAATAATAGCTTTGAATAAAATGTTTTTCTCTTACGATAGCTGCCTCTATATATTATATGCAATTTCGGTATACTTTCAACGATTGAAAGGTTCTTGCCTTCTTTTTTTTTATTTTTTTATCTAGAGATCGAAATATAAAATATAAATCTTAAAAGATTATTAAAAAAATATAAAAATAGTGCTCGCACATATATGTTTATATAATGTACACATATATATCGTGTAAAATTCTATTTTACTCAAAAGTTTTCATTTTTAGATACTTTTTGTCTACAAATACATTTTACGACGAATTATTAGCTATTAATATAGCTGGTCAAACTTATCTTTGGGAGGTATTACACCACTTGGCTACACAAAGGAGTTTGTACAGTCAAATGTTGGACATTCTCATAAAGGCGATACAAATATTTGGCACAAACGACATTCACTCAAAGTCATGTAATGTATATGCATATTTCATATATATACATACGTATACACGTAATGTATAGGATTTAATATATGTATTTATTTTTAGATGGTTTACTCATATGTTTGAGTGAATCTGATTTAATGCAATCAATGTTATTGAATTATGATTTAGCTAGATCTCACATATTATTTGTACGCAATAATCTGCGAGATTCTCACATTTTTGTACTTCAGGTGAGAAATCTTAATATTTCACTTAATAATTTACTTGGCAAAGTTACAGAGATGTTTCATCGCAAATTAAATTATTAATAAATGAGTTATATGTCTGAGAGAAAAATATAAATATCAAATCATTATTTTCTCTTTATGTTTATAGAATTTGCATAAAAATCAAAGAAAAGTTATCTCGATCAAATTAACCAAATATGAATACTTATGAATTAATGTTTGATACGTTTCATGGAATCAAAATAGAGCTTTAGATTATCGTTTGAGTATTATTGCTTAACAACTTGAAATATTCCACAGAGATTAGTAACGTTGTACGATCCAACCAATCCAGTATTACGGCCTAGATTAATACAATGTAAAGCACGTCATAAAATGGTATCATACGATTTACAATCTAATCAATGTGATTCTATAGATAATATTGATTCTACGGATAATATTGTGAGTATTGAGTTTCTAACGTTTGGGATTCTTAACATTAGAACCGTGGGTCTAAATTAACCCGATTGCGGTAAATCTGGCTTTTTACAAGAGAGAATTGTCACCATAAAAGTAATTAATCATGATTATTTATGAAAAGTCACAAAAATTTAAACTATACATGCAAATGCAAATTAACAGGAAAAGAAAAATTATCGAAGAGTAAAAAATGGTAGAGCTGTGATTCTAATGTTAAGATTTGTGCATAATATGAATGATTAGTATTTAAATTATCTAGGCTATTTAGAATAATGAGAAATTTTCGTAAATATAAATTTTTGAAATTACTAATATATGAAAAAATTGTGTTTTTTTACCAGAATCAAATATATGCTATTAAACAAGTTTTTTTAAATTTGATCCTTTATTATCAAGATATTTTATCATGTTTGAATTTTAAAAAATATAGAGACAAATAGTACTAAAAATAAAGATTTTAATGAGAGAAAATCAAATGAATTTTGGAGTGTTGTGCAAATTATTTTGAACAATCGGATGTTTTTTTAACTACAAATTCTTAGCCAATTAAATTTTTTAACGTAAGCTTTGATTATTATTTCTTTTTAAAATAATTAGAAAATCTATTTTCTCTACTGAGAAACTTAATTCACTAGAAATTCCCTATTCCTTATAGTTATTTGATCGAAGAAATTAAACTTGTTTTTGTAACTTTCTCGTGAAGAAAAGATTTTTTCCAAACCATACACAAAGAAAATTTGTGGTAAAAAGAACATACGTTAAAAGTGATTTCAAAATATCTTTATTAATGACAAAAATATTTTCTAGGATCAGTCTGATACTCTCGTAGAAGAGATAATAGAAACGTTTATACTAGTATTGTTGACTCTTATTCATAAGAAACGATTATTAAATCCTAATTCCAAATTCACTTTTTTGTATGACGTACAATTGCCGGAGTTCAGCAAGGTAATTCTAAATCTTTAATTATTTACGTTCTATATTTGACAAAGAAAAAAATTCTACTCTAGAAAAGCTTTAGTAAAGCTTTTATTAAAAGATTACAGAATTTGAAGCTTATAAAGATTTTGAAGAATTTTGTTAATTTCTTGTTCTATTCTATATTTTGAAACATCGTTTCAAAATCTTCAGGAATTTTTATTTTCAATGTTACGATGTTAGTATACTCTACTCTAAACGTTTGTCATAAAATTATTTGTAAAGTTAACGAAATCACGTTTGCATCAAATTGCATGGCGATAAAGCATGTACAAAACGTTATTTATCTGATTTGGATATTCGAATGTTTATTATTGGAATGAAGAAAGATTATGACAGTCAGATATAATTACAATTTTATACTTTGATCTCAACAGGAATTCTCGGAAATGACTATGCATGATTTTAAGAGAAGATCGTTAAGTACTGGATTTTCTCATGTTGCACTTGTTAGAAATGGTAATATCTATACTTGGGGAAGTTCAGTGCAAGGTTGTTTAGGTACGTATGTATTTGCAGATTGTTTAAAACGTATCATTACATATATAAATGCTGTAAAATATAAAATAAATATAATAGTACACAGCATCTCAAAATACATATAATGGTATATATATATATATATATTTAAAAAAAAAGAGAAATTTATATGGCCAATATAAGCTGATATAAGATAAAGATGCAAATGAATCTTTTAAATATAAAACTCATATATAAAATTTCATTTTTAATTATCTTCAATCTCTGAAGAGTGCGAGGAAACATGTTTTATAAAAAAATTTTTTCTATATATAAATACACATAGAAAAATTTCTAAAAAATTTGGAAAAGACGCAATTAGAATTATATGATAAAAAAACAGAGGCAAGCAGCGAAAACAATTCAAAAATTATTTTCCTATTTGAAGTAGTCAATCTCAAGTATTGAATCTTATATTCTCTCATCAAAATGTATTAATTCTGTGAATTTATATACATATAATATTGATAATTTTATTTATTAATCATATTGAATTTCTTTATGATAATTTGTTCGTACATATTAACTATTAGGTACTGGCTCTAGCGTTTTGCGATATGGGACACCTCATGCCATATGCTTCTTCAAAAGTATGAAGATTGAAGTTTTTAGTGTATCATGTGGGCATTGCCATACTCTGGCAGTTACTAACAATGGAATCTATGCTTGGGGAGCTAGTCAATTTGGTCAGTTAGGACTTGGCAAGGTGTTGCAATGTTCAAGTCCGGAATTAGTTACTTCATTGGCGCAAGAAATTATTGTTGATGCAATAGCTGGACAGTATCATTCTGTAGCACTAACTGCAGATGGTAGAATATTCACGTGGGGTTGGGGTGTTCACGGCCAACTGGGCCACGGCAATACCGACGAAAAAGCTACACCATCTTTGGTCAAAGCTCTGCTTGGCGTAGTCGTATGTTGTATCAGCGCTGGATATGCACACACTTTGGCACTATCAATAGATGGTGTTGTATATGCTTTCGGATGTAATATTCTTGGTCAATTAGGAACAGGTGATAATACCAAAAGTTCTGTCCCGATAAAAGTATCGTTACCCGATAGGATATCGCTTATAAGTACTGGATACTTTCATAATGTAAGTCAGTAAACATACATAACTTGTTTTATATGTATGTATATATTTTTTATGCAACATGATGTTACAATCATTAAAATTACTCGTTGCTTTTCGTAATAAATCTATATTTTTAACATCATAACAACAGTAATTTTATACACGTATGGTGTTCTATGTTTGCAGCTAGCTGTCAGTAATACGAACAAATTATATATATGGGGTGCGAGTCCTCAAGTTCTCAGATTGCAAGCACAAGCGCAAAAGAAGACTCGTATATCGGAGCAACAAGATGCTAATGAGAAAAGGAATAAGGCTCTGGGAGAATTGGAAAAAATATCAAGTGATGCTACAAATCTAAACGGAAAAATAAAAGAAGAATTTTTGAATAAGAAAGATGGTGTACAAACTAAGTCTTCTCACACGGAAACTTCTGATATAGAAACGCAAAAGAAATTCGAGACTAAAAACGCACATTTGAAAGACTTCAACTTTGATTTGATCGAGGAGAGTCAAACACATTTAAAACCATGTGTTGTTGACACAAGTTTGGTGAAAGGTCAAATTAATCAGGTTCGTAATATAAGGGAACTTGAAATTTATATGCTTAGTTTAGTAAATATTGTACAATTTATGTATCCAATTAAACGCGTAAAGAACATTACAATGTTCGTGGCGTTAGTAGACAAAAATCGTGATACTTTGTGATGTAACTTGTGATCATTTGTGCAGATATCAGTTGGCTGTCACCATAATGCATTAATAACGAAAGATGGCTCTTTATATACATGGGGCCGTAATCTGGATGGTCAAATAGGTAACGGCACGCGACGAGAAGTATTAATTCCGACGCCTTTGTATTATAATTCAGCCTGTATTTTTGCACAAATACCTCCTAGACACAATGATTTTAAAAGAATACAAAATCAACGGGACTTGGACACTGACGCCAAATCGAATTACTCACTGGCAAATAACGGAAATGTGCCTGAGAACAATGGGAATATCAGTGATTCGTCGATATACGTAGAAAATGCTAGCATAAATACAGAGAGAACCAATCCTATAATTAATGCTGTTGGCATTGCTTGTGGATATGATTATACAGTCACGATACAACCAGGTTACAAAGAAGCAAGATATACATATTTACTAATTAAATTATTTATCTTAATGCCAAAACATTTGTCACATAATTCGTTTTGAATCTCTCAAATTTAATCTAATTTAATCGAGTTATTAATTATTTGATATGATATTCTTATCTATTTAAAACACACATAATTGGATAAATATAATTACATGTAATTATACATGTAATTGAACCTTTTTATATTATAATCGCTCTCTCTTTCTTTTTTTTCTCTTACACAATACGGTACACGGTTTTTAATAAATATACGGTTTATTTTTGAAAAGAAACAAATGTTGCATTATAAAAATTATATAATTTAGGAGGTACGGTATTAGCTTGGGGCAATAACAGTAGAGCGCAATTGGGTCGCATTCCTGCGAAAGATGCACGAGATGCCGATGATAAACTCGTATTACTGAAATCATCGAAGCGAATAGTACGACTCCCTAATGCGTTGCACGTAGCTTTGGACATTCCTAGTCAAGTACCTGGTATTTCTACACCAGTGATATCTTATCGATCTAATGATGTGTTTTCTCTCGCTGGACTTGTCTATCCTTTAAGCGTTATCGAAAAATCACCTGGGGAATTAACACTTCATTACGTTCTGGAATATTTCTACAGTTTATATGACTCCGCCAATATTATGAAAAAGGTTAGTTGATTGCTTCATCTGATTATTAATAAGAAAAGTGTGACATAATAATTAGAAGAAGAAAAAAAAACATCGTTTTACTCAATCAATCATTATAGTCGAATTAATATCTTGCATAAATTATATTTCTTCCTTCGAAGAAGGATGTTTTAAATAAAAACAAATTTGTACTCATTTCTTCCACTGAGAAGAACGCAAGTGAGTTATTTTTTTTTTTTTCGCAAAATGATATGCAACATAAATTTTGTAGTCAAATATATTAAATTGAATGTTTGAATTTTAATTTAAAACAAAATATAACACAACTGTTATTAAAACAACTAAGACAGATCTTTCTCTGTTGCAGTGTATCGAATTAGAGAATTATCAAGCTTGTTCTAAAATAGCAGCATTAGAAAATAATGTTTTGGCTGCTTTCACTTATCAGTTGAAGATGTTACATAAATTGAGTCTTCAATCCAAAAATTATTCGGAAATTTCACATGAAACAACAGAATCCACAATCCAGATTAGTTCACAAAATTACGTAGATGTGATGAGAGATTCTATGTCGTCCCAAAATATCAAGAAAAATACTGAATTATTTAATACACAAGCGGAGAAGAATCTCATAGAATCCTTGGAAAACAGCGTTGCTCAAAGCTGGACGAAAATTTCCACAAGTAGATCATTGAATAATTTGCAAACACTAGCACAAGAATTAAATTCTTTCGACTGTCAAGGTGGTTTAGAAGAATTATACAAAACTCGAAAAAAGGACAATTCCTCAAACATTAATGTAGATCATTCCAACGCCGAATATAACGAACAGAAATGGATTAAGGATTTTATTTTTAATGAAAACAATTTGTTTCTGCAACATAAAAACGTCACTTGTAATTCTATGCAAAATACAACTCGATCGAGCTACACGAAATCAACGTTAATTGTCCATGACAATCGGTGCGACGAAAATAAAGAGAAAACTATATTGTCGGACAAAATGTCCTCTCATTCTCAAAAGAATTACATAATTAACGAAACAATAAAAGCATTAAGGTTTTATTTGAAAAGTATCAATAATGAATCAAATACTGTGAAATGTGAAATATTGCAAAGTGCAATTGGTTTTTGGATTGAGCACAAATTACCGATACAGTGTTTGGAGAATATTTTTCTCGAACATATACATATCGTTTATTACCCTCTTGGATTATTACTTTTTTGGTAAATAACACCTGTAATTTTATATAGCCATAAATAGCTTATGTTTTTGTTATTATACTATTATCCTATGTTTGGAATATCATATATTTATTTAAAGATACAGAGGGATTCCAAGACTCGTCAAAAATTCGAATTATTTAGTTGTAATATTAAATATCTTCCTGAAGTAGAGCCAGAAAATGTAAAATAATATATATGCTATAAAATTGTGATCTAAGCTGCAGAAAAAGTATGAACAGTTTAGGAATCCCTAATGGCATCAATTAAAATAGGATGAGACAAATCAATGACGAACATCTTCATATTTTTAATTCATTATCGTTTTCACAGTCAGGATGTGATAGAAAGATATTTAAATATAAGTAAGTACGGCGACGAAGAAAAGGACTGGTGCGCGAATAATTTATTCTCGATTAAATTCTGTCTTCAAGTATTATCAATGTTAATGCAACATATCGATGAAGGTTGTTAACTTGATATTTTTTATCTTTCAAATTATTTTTGAAGTAAAATAGATTAGCATAATAGTGAAATTGTTATATTTCAGATGACATTATGCCGGAATATATTAAAATTTTTTCCTCTTTAACGGCGGACAGTTATGGAGCACCTTTAAACGGATATCCAGGTACAAATGAAAATAATAATCCAGAAGAAATGATGGAAGGAACCGTCAATACGATACTTTCCGAAATGGAAGATTCCAAATTATTTGCACATGTCAAGGTAACATTTTCCTGAGATGGTCTGTGTGAGTGAGTGAATGTGAGAGAGAGAGAGAGAGAGAGAGTTTGTTACAATTATATAGTTGACATTCAATAGTTGGATTAAATTTGCATCGTATTTTACTGAACTTTTTAACGTTAAATTAAAACAGGACTCGGATGCTGTAAATCACTTACTTACAACGGAAGAAGATAATATGATATTTACTTGCGGACATCACTTTCCAATCTCTCAATACCAAGCAGACATTATCCCGTCGTTGGAAACAGAATTACTAACATCTTCATCTTTGATTCTTCCATGTACGTCGCAATATTTAGGAAATATGTTATCTCGCACACCTGAACCAGAAATTCTGTGTCCTTTGTGTATAATTGGAGCATTAAGAGCAACAACGGCAAAGGATTACGATTAAAGGTATGTTAATCCTTTCGATGTGTTCACATATATCATAAATAAAGCCATTGGGCGTAACTACGTTCAAATATATTTGATAATCATAATTAATTACACAACATATAATTATATATATAGTTATAATAATATTATAATTAACAAGACGTGTTTAATGCTTCCTTCGTTTATTCCGCATACCTGTGCGGGCGCCCTTTCTCGCTCCAGAAACAATGCTCTGGAATTTTCCCGCGTTCTTCTTCTTCTTTCTGTAAAATACAAATGTTCAATTTAATATATCAATAAATGGAAAATGTAAAATACATACAACAGATGGATTAAAATATATATTATTGACCTTTTATTCAATATCGATCTCGTTAAGGGTACATATGCATAGGGATCTGGTTTACCCTTTTTCTTAATATCTCCCTTAGCTTTTGTCGCACGATAATCGGAACCGGGTTCACTGTCTACCTTCCTCATTTTTAACGATCGATGAATACCCGAGCCTCCAGCTGAAATTAAGAAGAAATGCAAAAAGTTGATACAAAATATTATTAATTAGCGTAACAAATCATGCATCATTTATTACAATAATCATTACAAAGATATGTTTTCTATTATCATTGTAATATTAATTGTAATTACCGACGCTATTATAGAAATCGCTTAATCGCAAATTCAATTTTTCATATCACATTTGTCAAATATATCTTAAATTTCTTACAAATTGTCTTTCAAGATTTACTTGTACAAAATAAAAAAAAAAGACACTTTTCTTTAATGAAAAAATTTGTAAATTTACCTCGATATTTCGACGTTGACTGGCTCTTCAAGCTCATTACATCCAGCACACTCTCGCTATATTTACGTTTTTTATTAGCAGTCTTTGTGGTCACTACCGAAATGTCATCCTCGACTACAGAAAATAAAGATATATATCTCTCGATACATAAACTTTTTTCCATGTCTAAATAAAATAATTATTACAAAACATTTACCGTAATCGTCTTCTGAATCACTCTGAAGAAAAGAAGTCTTTTTCTTCTTCTTATTCTTTTCTGTATCGCTATCCCTCTCATTATCATCCCTAATGATGAGACGACCATCGGGTGCAGTCGCAAAGCCACGATCCTTTGTTTTCCTTACTGGAATCTTCGGATTCGGTACACCTGGTTGTGTAGCTAAAGCGTACAAGACGAGATTGATTACAGCAAGATATTAACATTAATTAGGAGTTTTTAAGTAAGTTTTATTCTTGATTTCTTTCTAGTTTTGTCTGTAGACAAAGGATATAGAGACAATGTATTGTATTAGGTTGTTCGGAAAGTAATTTCGTTTTTTCTTATGAAAATGAAAGACGATTTTCAATCAGACGCGTTTCAAATGATCATGAACGGTCGAATTCGATAAATTTAATCTCTCAGCGATCTCACGAGTTGTTATTCGCTGGTTTGCATCAATTAATGCCTTTATTGTGTCTTCATCAGCTTCAACTGGCCTTCCAGAACGTGGTGCATCTTCAACATCAAAATTGGCGGATCGAAATTTTGCAAACTAGTTTTGGCACTGGCGTTCTGTCAATACATCTTCTCCATACACATCGGATAATTTTTTTCTTGCTTGAACAGCATTTTTACCTTTTCGATAGTAAAAAAGTAAAATATGCCGAAAATGCTGCTTTTCACTTTCCATATTTGATAGGGCGCCAACCAAAAACTACTGCGTAGAATCAATCGAACTTTTTTCACAAGCAAGCCTTGCTATATCAGCTGTCAAAATATATAATGATTATGCGGCTTAAGTGTGAAGTTGGCTGTGAAAAAATACAATTAAGTCCTTTGTTGGGAAAAAACGAAATTACTTTCCGAACAACCCAATATATTGAAATTCAAAATCAACTCTTGATCGACAGAGATTAAAATTCTAAAAATTTAATTTCTTCCGACCAAAGAAAAACGAGTTCAGAGAAAAAAAAATTGAGTGACCAACTTGTGATGTTTCTAGCAGCTGCAGGATCTGCAAGATCGACTATATTATCTTCACTCTCCTGAATCCAAGCGTCCTTTTTCAGCGTTCTTTTTTTGTTCCTCTTCTTTTCTAGTTCGTTTTCCGTGACTTCAAACTCCTCGTCGCTATCAGCCAATATCTCCTCTACGCTTTTAGGTCTCCTCTTGGCGTCAAATTCCTCGTCGCTATTCCGTTCCTGCAGCTTCCTTGCTCTTTCGAGTTCTCGTTTCTTCTTCTTCTTTGCATTCTCTATCTTGTTGATATTTTTCAGTCTCTTGTGCAGGATGACGTCCGAGGCTGGTACCATACTTGATATTGCTTCTATGCAATACTTCCTTATCATTTTGGTAAGGATGTCTCGTACTTTTTGTCGAAAGTGACGCTTACAGTCTTCGCTCATTCCCGACAGGGCGTTGACTATCCGTGACAATGATGCCATCACGACAGGCCGCGTCAAATCGATGTATACCTTCACGTAGGACAACGCGGACTCGACTATCTCTCTCGTGGGACTCGTGAGAATCGTGCAAGCGTGTGCCAAGATCTCGTTGACGATGTCCGTACTCAGAGAGCCGTTATGATGATAAGTGATAGACGCGAGAGCAAGGAGACTAGCGCTAACATACGCTTGTTCACCGCCCAAGCCTACCATTAGCATATCTACATAGTCCTTGAGATATTCGGAATTATTGAGAAATTTTTCAGCAATTATATTGAGCAGCTGATACGCCGCCTCGCGACACCTTTCGTTGATATCTTTAACGCAGAGTACAACTTCTGGCACGATGGCCTCGAGGAACTTTGTCTTCTCGAGCTGCGGATGTATTCTGACGAGATGCGTCAGACATCGTAGACGAGCTCCTCTGCTCGTCTTTATCACGCTGGTTGCCGACGATATCAGCGTGTTTTGAATCTGACGTCGCTGTTGATGCAGAAACTGTTTGCAAACCTCTCTTTCGCTACCGCATATCTCCTCAAGGAACCGATAAGCTTTCTTCTGCTCTTTCCGTTTGGTATCATCCTTGAGGATCGACACGCACTTATCATAGTACTTGCTCAATCTGTCAACATCCGTATAGCCGATCAACGCTCTCATCAGATCGTAAATGCTCTCTTTGAAGAAGTCATCCGCATCGGGCTCTTCGAGCTTGCTTTGCGCACGATCGAACAGATAGTTTGCTAAATCGCTGCTCGTGATAGTTATGTAAATCTTCATCGTGTCGAACGCGGCGAGACGCGCTCCTTCCTCGTCCGTGCCGTTTGGCTTTGTCGTATAAAAGTTGAAGAGAATCGGCAGATAATTCTTGGCGAAGCGAGCGAGTTCAGCGATATCATCGGTGTTGTCTTGTTTGATCGCTTTGCTGATCAGCTTTCTCAAAGCCGCCAACGCAAATGGTCTCAGGTCTCTCCAATCGCAGATAGCTGTACCCAACATCTTGGCGATAAATTTAAAGTTATCCTTTACGTCACTGGCGTCATTGCACAGACTCGGCAAAATTGACCAGATTTGCGTTACTAAGCATTCGTATATCTTCTTATCTGCGGGAGATTCGTCAGCTTTCTTCTCGCACACCAGAACAAGTGTCAGCAGGACATCCTTGAAGAAGGCGATGGTGCCACCAGTTATGCAGTCTTTCAATAGCGGAATCATCCAACTCCGTTTGAGATTGATCGTGTTTTCATCAATTTTAAGAGGGAGGATATCCAACACTGCTTGAGGTCCCATAGCCCGGATCGCTGCTCCAATGGCATACTCCGCGTCACGGTTGTGCACAAAATCGTGGGACTCTCGCAAATTTCCCAGGGTCTTGACAACGTTGACGAGTTCCTGGAGCTTCAGCTTGCCGGTAACTTGGAAGAGCACAGCTATAAGGTGAAGAACATGGCGCCAGGCTCCGATATACTGATAGCTCAGGGTTTTGTGCATTATCTCGACTATGCGCCTCACAATAGGTTCGTAGTTGCCGATTCGCTCCTCATTTTCGCAAAGAGGAGCTACGCACTCCTGCAGAATGATTTTGACAGTGTGTGATGCACCATTGACGATCTCCGTCTTGTTCGATAGCAAGAGCTCAACGCATCTGTTGAGCATTTCCGGTATAACGTAGTAGAATGTCGAAAAGACGTCGGAAGAGACTCTTGAGAAAGTCAGGTGCGTCATCAGGTTGCAGTGAGCCTCCTGCATGACGGCCAACCACGCCAAAGTCGGCTGTGTGTCATTTGCAGATGGTTGATAGTCGTAAAGGGCTTTAATGATATTTGCATTTCGCGAGAAAGGTAACGTTGCTTCCGACGGCCTCATGACGAATAATCCATGCAAGGTTTGCAAGCAGCACGACGTTATCAGTACATTGTTCAAAGTCATGATCTCCAACAGACATTCGCAGATGGTCTTTACACATGACTCTGGTAGCTGATGTGTTATATCCTTCAACAATGTAAGAATATGCAATATAGTAGTTACCTCTAGCGACGATCCTTGTTTGCAATCGTTGAGTTGTTTGAGACAGTGCTTCGCGACTTTTTCCGCAGCCGGATGATGAGTCGGTGGCTTCTCACTCTTCATTATGTTGCTGTCCTTCAGAATGGCACATATCCCGTGCTGGGCAGCCTTGCGTACCTTCGGCTTGGTATGAATGATAAATGACAACATAGCGTCCAGTACTTGCGTTGTCGAGGAATTCATCCAAACTGCAGCCTCCTGCGCTCTCAACAACACTGAAAGACAGCCTATGCAATGTCGCAGAATGAGATGACTCTCACTATCGACATACTGTTGTAGAATCCGAAGGAGAGCCTGACTCGTTGGACCAAACTGCAAATTTAGTACATTTTTAGATACCGTTCTCAGACACATTCCGAGTAGAGACAGCGTGGCTGCTACAGAGGTGTCATCCTCCACCACCTCCAAAGTACTCATTAATGCAGCGAAGTACTCTGTCGAGCTTTCTTTACCACCATGCTGCTTGATAATCTCGGTTACGGATGCCAGCACTGCCAACATCTCCTTGTGTACGATTGAGCTCGATTGAAAATGATCAAGGAACTTGCTGAATGAAAGGTTGGAACAATTGCTGTAATTAGTGACGAACGTGCTATCGTATGTACTAGCCGTCTCGTATAGGGTAGTACTTTCCTCGAGCTGATTCTCGTCTATGTCGAGCTTGTCGAATTGCGGCTGAATACCGTGGATAGCGTCGTGCTTCCATAGATCCTCCTTCGTGATGCCTGGCGTGCTGGAAAAATCCTTGGAAAACAAATGAGTCGCTCGCTCGCGATATTTCGTGGTCACCGGGTTGGAACTCGAACTCTGGCCTT